GCGGAAGGTCGTGTCCTTGTTGGTTTAGAAGCAAGTGATGCGAAACAAAACCCAGATGGTTTGATTGAAACATTAGAAAGTATTTCGTATCCATATGAAGAAATTACCAATAACCTAGGTTATCAACGTTTCTTAAAATAAAAGATTTAATACATACATAAAACCGCCCTTCGAGGCGGTTTTATTCTATGAGCTGCATCGGCTCTTCATCACCAAACGTGTGGTTATACGTGACGATAATCTGGTCGATCAGCTCATCATTATGCGGCACTAACAGCCAATAAGGGTTTTCCCGCTCGATAACCAGTAAACTGAGTTCATAAGGCTCGATAAAAATTTTAATGTGGTTAAAAATAACATCAAAACTAAATTCAAAATCATAACCATGCATGTCTGAGGTTTCTTCTTCCTCACTGTCATACATTTGATAAAAAGACGCCATATCATCATTAATTTGGTTTTTCAGCTCGTCTAAGTCAATACCTAGCTGTTGGAGGCGATGGCATTCATCAATACCATTTTGTCGAAAATCATCGAGTTCTATTTTTTGAATGTTTGAATAATAGCTATTCAACCAACGTACAAAGTGCTCGAACTCATCTTGTTCTTCTGGAATTGCGGTATCATTCAATTCTGGAAACGCGACCCTCAGGGATTCATACAGTGTCTTCCGCATTTATATACTCCTTTGGATGAGTGATATATTGGTATAAGGCAAAGCGCGGTTGATCGAAAAAAGCGTGTCTGTATAAAGATGACATCTTGTGAAATTTGGCACAACATTCGTTAACAATCGACGTATAAAAAAATTTAAAGGAAAGATGACATGGCACAATTTGCAGTGATTGGTTTAGGAAGCTTTGGAGCCACAGTTGCAACTCAACTCATTGAACTGGGACATGATGTCATTGGTATCGATAGTGAAAAAAAATATGTTGAAAATATTTCTGAGCAGGTGACCCATGCTGTCATCGCCGACGCAACAGATGAACATGTCCTCGATGAATTAAATATTAAAAACTGCGATGCCGTGGTGGTCGCAATTGGTGAAAATATTGAAGCCAGTATTTTGTGTGTACTGCACCTCAAAAATATTGGGGTTGAAAAAATTTGGGTCAAAGCCAAATCAAAGTCGCACCATATGATTTTAAGCCATTTAGGGATTAGTAAAATTATTCACCCTGAAGAGGACATGGGCGTGCGGATTGCGCAGTCTTTATGCTATCCCA